GTGCGCCTGTGTCAGGCAATGGCCAAGGAGTTCAGAAGAGGGCGTTGGATCCCCTGGAACTGGAGTTAGGATGGTTGTTAGCTGCCATGTGGTGCTGGGAACCAAACCTGGGTCCTCTGTGGTCTTAACTGCTGAGCCATCTCTTCAGTCCCCTAAGCAATTTTTTTCCACACCTCAATTTCTCCTCAGATGTTGACTTTGAAATCTGTTCCCCAAGGTGCTGAGGCACCCTGAAAAGACAGCTGAACTGTCCACTACAGAAAGGGACCTCAAGGCAAGAAAGGGACCCATGAGACTGTGTCTCCAAAGGACAGAAGACGCCTTTGACACATTTTCATTCACATCTCCAAAATCTGCACTGGGCATACAATAGGAGCTTAATAAGCAGGTGTTGTATGAGTAGATCAACGACCACAGTAGGTGTTCAATAAACAGTGTCATGTTGGCTTTGGTTTTCAACTTGATACACCTTGGAAGTGGAAATCTCAATGGGGGAATTTTCTCTGGACTGGCCTGTGGCCATGTCTGTAAGGCATTTCCTTGATTGTTAAGTGATGCCTGAGGGATCAGTCCACTGTGGGTGGTGCCACCCCTGGGCAAGTGGTCTGTGTTGTATAAGAAAGCAGGCTGAGCACAGGCCAGAGGAGCAAGCCAGTAAGCAGTGTTCCTCCATGGCCTGTACTCCAGCTCCGGCCTCCAGGTTCCTGCCCTGAGTTTCCACCCTGGCTTCCCTCAGTGATGAGCTGTGATGAGACATGTAACCAAATAACCCCTTTCCTCCCCAAGTTCCTTTGGTCATGATATTTATCACAACAGAAACTAATCTAAAACAAGGTGTCCGGACTGGAGGGATGGCTCAATGGTTAAGAACACTGAATGTTCTTGCAGAAGACCCAGGTTCGAATCCTAGCACCCACATGGCAGCTAACAACTGTCCATGACTCCAGTTCCAGGGGATCTGATCTGTCCTCAGTAGGCATTGCACAACATGGGTGCACTTACCTACATGGAGGCAATACACGCATACACATAAAAATATAAAAATAATAAATATAAAAAAATAAAAATAAAGCAAGGTGTCATACAGATGGATATGGATCTCCACACACAGTAGGAGCTCAATAAATAAGGGTCATATGAATAAGTTGCTGCACACAGTAGGAGCTCAATAAACAGTGGATGGACTCACACCAAGGGACATTTGGGGACACAAACTTGACTCAGTAGGCCTTAACATATATGACAGAATGCATGAACTCCAGTAACGGGGCTATGGGGGTACAGACAGGGTAAGGGTCTAAATATGGTCAAAATGTATTGTATGAAATCCACAAAAATTAATAAAAAATTTAAGAAAAAATAATTATCCACAATCAACAACAAAAAAATCTAATAATGAGTTAAATATCTGAATACAAAATTTGCTAAAGTACAGTAAGTCACGCACCATCACGCACCATATAATGACACCCCATTTAACTACTGACTGCTTAAATGACAGCGGCTACATAAGATTTTATCAGTTAATCATGTCATGGTGATCAATGTTTGTGTAAGTACACTTTCAAAAGCTGATGAAATCTAGTGACACATTTTAAACATATTTTTATTATTTTTATGTGTATGAGTGTATTGTCTGCATGTATGTAAGTGCACTCATATCATGCAATGCCTGCTTGGAGGTCAGAAGAGGGCATTGGATCCCCTGGAACTGGAGTTATGGACAGTTGTTAGCCACCATGTGGGTGCTGGGAATCGAACCCGGGTCCTCTGCAAGAGTAGCCAGTGCTCTTAACCACTGAGTCATCTCCTCAACCCTGTGACATATTTCTTAGAACGTTATCTCCATCAAGAGATGCCTGACTATGTGTGTTTTCTAAATAAACTCATGGGAAAATGCTTTTTAAAAAAAAAAAAAAACCCAGGTACTGTATGGACAGATCGAAGCATACAGTGAGAGCTCAATAAACACATGTCATTCAGATGGATCGCTGCATGCAGTAGGATCTCAATCAAAACGTCATACAGGTGGATCACTGCATGCAGTAAGAGCTCAATAAATAGGTGTCATATGGATAGATCACTAGATCCACGGAAGCCCAAGTCCTTTTGTTTTCATTCTTTGTTTCAAAAACTCACAAACCTGATCAGTACAATGACGATACAGAGCTGTGTTCTGGTTTCTTTTATCGGACTATATATGTGTGCATGTTCATGTGTATGTGCACATATATGCAGATGCATGTGAAGACCAGAGGATAACCTCAGCTACCCTCCCTCAGGCACCACCCACCTGTTTACTGAGATAGGGTATCTCGCTGGCCCAGAACTCCCTGAGTGAACCCCATGTATCCACCTGCCTCTACCTCCCCAGCCCTGGGATTACAAGTGCTCCCCACCATGCCTGGCTTTTTATGTGAGTTCTGGGGTTCAAACTCAGGTCCTCAATCTTACACAGCGAGCACTTCACCAGCTGAGCTATCATCCGGGCCTTGGTTTCTCTCATGATCCCCTTCATATATGCCCTCCTGTGATAATAATTTCCCCCCAAATATGTGGAGAATGCCAACAAAATTGGATAGTCCCTGTGTTTGAGGAGCAAGGACATTAAGCCTGCAAATTTATAAAGTTGCTCCCATACCTAAACTGAGAGTGCTGTCAGAGCCTTGGTCCCCGCCCAGCCTTAATGCCACCAATTAGCACCACTTTCTCAGAGTTAAGCAGTAAAGTCAAGGGTTCACCCAGAAGCCCCCTGTCTTTAGCGTGACCCAAACAAGTTAGAGCTCTGGTCAACCAAAAGATTCTGAGAGCCTGTTTCCAAGGGAACAGAAGGAAAGCAGCACAGCCAGAAAGAATCATGCCCAGCACTGAGAGATACCAGGTCAAGAGATGTGGCTGTGAGAACATGAGACAGAAATGAGAAAAACAGTAGGGTGTGTCCCCAGAAAATAAAGCAAAGAATTCCAGAGGACCCAGAAATCTGTAACTAGGTGTGCTGGATAGCTTTAGTGTCAACTTGACACACCTGGGTTGAGGGAGCCTCAATTGCGGAATTTCCTCTATTGGACTGGCCTGTGGCCATGTCTGAGGGGCATCTTCTTGATGAGTGATGTGGGAGGGCCCAGCCCACTGTGGGTGGTGCCATCCCTGGGAAGGTGGGCCTGTGTGAAATAAGAAAGCAGGCTGAGCAGGGGCCAGGGGAGCAAGCCAATAAGCAGCGTTCCTCCATGGCCTGTGTTCCAGCTCCTGCCTCCAGGTTCCTGCCCTGGGTTCCTACCTTGAGCTCCCTGATGAACTGTGACCTGGGAGATGTAAGATAAAAAAACGCTTTTCTCCCCAAGTTGGTAGTGGTCAGAGTGTTTTGTCACAGCAATGAAGAACAAACTAGAACACTAGGTATATACCCCACTGAATTAAAAACAGGCCTTTGAGGCCAGGCGGGTGTTGGTACACACCTTTAAACCCAGCACTGGGGGGGCAGAGGAAGGCGGATCTCTGAAAGTTCAGAGGCCAGGTTAAAAAAAAAAGGGGGGGGCTTTAGGGGCTGAAGAGATAGCTCAGGGGTTAAGAGCACTGACTGCTCTTGCAGAGGACCCCAGTTCTATTCCCAGCACCCACATGGCAGCTAACACCATCTATAACGCCAGTTCCAGGGGAATCCAAAGCCTTCTTCTGACCTTCACAGCATTGCACGACATGGGTGCACTCACATACATGCAGGTAATACACATAAAATAAAAATAATAAAGAAAATATTTTTTTAAAAAGCCAAGCAAGCACAGCAGCCACCTGTAATCATAGCAAAACTCATTGGGGAGACAGGAAAGTCTTAACTTTCTGCTTCTCATTTGGGGGAGTCAGAAAAAAATGCAAGGGAGACACCAAATGGAGAAAAGGGAAGAAAGATATATATATATGCCTTCAAGGGCTGGCGAGATGGCTCAGCAGTTAAGAGCACTGGCTGATCTTGCAGAGGAAATTTGATTTCCAGCACCCACATGGCAGGTCACAACTGTCTGTAACTCCAGTTCCAGGGGATCCGATGCCCTCTTCTGTCCACTGTGGGTACTGCATGAGATGGGTGCACTTAACATATATGCAGGCATAACACTTAAACACATAAAATAAATAAATATTTATAAATAAATAAATAAATAAATAACAGACGTCCAGCCAGGCCTGAGGGTGCACCCCTTTGATCCCAGCCCTAAGGAGGCAGAGGCAGGCAGATCTCTGTGAGGTGGAGACCAACTTGGTCTCCTGTACATGGGTGCTGGATTCACAGCCCAGGCTGAGGACCCTGCACACTGCGTGCTGCGTTCACAGCCCAGGCTGCAGCTTGCTTACACCCCTCCCCCATACCTCCCTTTAACGACCTGCCAATTGGGTTTATCCTCAGGAAGTCTCCACTACAGAATCCACTGTGTCCCAAGATGTCAATCAAGGAAACAGATCCTGCTGACCACTGGCTTTTGATGAAAACAGAGGATTGCAAAAGGAACCAGAAGAAAGCATTTCAATGACTGTTAGCCTGAAACTGCTTCCCAACAAACCAAGCTCAGAATATCTGAGGAGAGACATGGCGCTCCCAGCCCAGGCATACGGAGGAGCTGGGCCAGGATTTAGGCAGGATTAGGCAGTAGATTCCTTTAACAAAGGAGACAGTTAAGTCTTTTCCCTGATGTTTGGCAAAAGCCAGTCCTGGCAGGCAGTAATGGAAGCCTCCGTAACAACGCGGTGTGGGCAATGCACACCTTTTGTGAGTTTGGGCCACCCCCAAAGGCATCTTTGGGAAGCCTCGGGAAAAAAGAGAGCCTGTCTCCCAGGGCAGAGCTCAGACCCCAGGGACTAGGTCTGTGGTTAACACCTCCCCAAGACTTCTACTCACGGATTCTCACAGACACTCCACAACCCGCGTGGTCATGTGATCCAAGGTGAGCCTATCACAGTGGCCCATCCCTCCAGCTGCAGTGATTGGTCCTAGAGATGAATCGCACAGAGCCCAGCCAACCTCCTTCCCCCGGGATGTTTCTCAGGGAAAGGCTTCCCGCGGCCTGTCGAGGTCCTGAGGGTTGTCACCAGCCAAGTTTCCAGACCCCAAGGGGGAGCCTGGGTTTGCACGGAAGGAGGGAGAGGTAAGTGGTGGGAGGAAGAGAGAGGAACTTGGCATCCCCAGGGTCCCTGCTCCCCCAACACCACAGAGGGGTGATGAGAGGGTTAAATCCTGCTTAGGCTAGCTCAGGTTGTAGCTCTGAGATTTGTAACAAGCACCCTAAATGATGAAGGGGGGGGGAAGACTTCATGCCTAGTGATTGAAACTCACTAGTGATTGAAAGGAATAAAATCCCTGGAGCGCTGTGAGCAGAAGTGTTGCTCCGTCTTCCTCCTTTCTCCAGCCCTTTCCTTCCTTTGGTTTTTAAAATTATTTATTT